TTCAAAAACGATACTACGTGCCTGTTAATACCATCAACTGGTTAAAGTTTATGAGACTAACGGTTTATGCAACTAAACGTAAAATACTAAAATATTAAGCTTGCAAGATAAAGGAACCTTTCAAATAATTATTCTGGTAATTTGTTCAACTGCAATTACTATGTATATGTACTATGTACTATGTATTTAACATAACCTCGCTTTATATTTTTATAAGGATATTTTATGAAGTTTAGGATGCCAGAAAATAGGTATGATTATTCAAATTCATTTTGATCATTGGAATCATTACAAATATCTAAAACTGACGTGTGAAATTGAAGAATTTCTTGCAAATGCCATTTGCTTAACCGTAAACTTGGCGATTAAAACGATTTGGAGTAAACATTATCACAGATTTGAATCTAAACATGGACTTTCCTTGATTTTTTTTCAAATAGGCTATTAAAAATTCAAATGGACAGAGTTTGGTGCGAATGTGATAAAGATCTAACTATATATATATATATATACATTGAGGTATCAGTGAAAAGGGAGACGTCGTTTATAGAAGATTTATTGTAAGGTTGACGTTCATGACTACGCTTATGTCTCATTGTTTAAAAGTCCCATCACATTCACATAACTTCACTGTGGACTGAACAGATTCCCAACACTATCGACATTGTGATTGCATTTACTTGGCCAGGCCGTGCCTAGTTTCAAACCTTATATTCTTGTTGCCTACGGAAAAGTGTTCTCAGTGATGGGCTATCAGTATGATACCATATCCTAAAATTAAAGTGTCTATATAGAAGCCACTAGTCCCCATTGCTTATTTAAAGCACATGCCGAAAAAACTTTGAAAGTGAACCCTTGGTTATCCACAAAGATTACAATCTTTTCCGTTGACAACTTACAAGAATTGCCGTTAAGATAATCCCAAGTTCTGGTATGGAATTCAAAACTCTGTTCAAATGCATCTCCATTAGAAACTTCACATTCTCTCAAAGTTTTTTGTATGAACTGTTGGTTTTAGAACACTAAACCAAAACTGAAAATTCTGAAGACAGCATATATGACAAATGTTTTAAAATTCATCCATGAGAGTTACCTTATGAGTCTTTATCATTATTTTCTGATGACTTGCCATAAATTTAGCCCATTCAACTGTCATTTTTAAAGCAAAACAGTGTGCACTATATTTTTTGACGTCAATGCGGTATTATGACGTATCAATGGAGATATTGATGTATTCGTGGTATATATTAATGTAGTTCATGAGAAAATAAACTACATTTTATTTTGTAAAGAATCATAGGGGAAATTTATTGAAAATGTAAATATATTGTTTAACATATTTATGTTAGATTGATTACTGTTATTTTCAACTTTTCCATTTGACTACCGTACTCTGTCAACATGATAAAGACATGCAGTTGACAACAGGTGTGACAGGTCGATATGGAAAGCCCCCCCCCCCTACACCTGATCACGCCTCCTACATTTTCAGGTTTCTGTGTTGATACCCAGTTTATAATTCATTTTGTTTACCTGATTAATAGATTTGATTATTAATTGTTGTCTTCATTATTTACACACCTTTTACATTCCTATCAATACATGTACATTTGTATAAGGATAAAAACCAACAGGGGGAGACATAATACAAAAATGTATGAAGGTTTAAGGTCAGACGACACGTTCCTCAAATGTATATGTTTTGTATCTCTTGATATTATATTAAAAAAATCATAATTGTCATTCTCTTGTGATTTCCATTTTGTTATCAATATGATTTTAAATATATTTACACCAAACATGCGATATAGGACACTCAGAAGATTACCCATAAGGATTACATACTGACACGCAAAAGAAACGCAACACTCTACTTTAGGGGGAAATAATTATGTAAAGTAAAGAATTTTGTATCTTAAAATTATGGATATCTTCAATTTGGTAAATATCGGTAATTTTACGGTTGAACGATTTTCGTACCATAACCGGAAGTCGAGTTTGAGTCTGCTTAACAGAAATCAAAAATTGCATGTTTAACAAAACATTTGGCAATATTTTGGAGTTTTTAGTGTTTGTACTGTTCATCTGAAGAAATGCAGCAATATTTCAAAAAATAAAATCTCCTTTTGTTTCCCGTAACGATGCTAAGGCTTCTCGAAAATGGCTTTAGTACGCATTTCAATTGCTCTAACTGGAAAATCTCAACGTAAAAGTGATGGAGAGTTGATGATGCAAAAATACTCTGCATTACGCTTCAACGGGGTCTTATGTATCGTATGCATAAATGATAGTCCTTGAACCTGAAGCCAAGGGTTACTATAACGCGCTAAGTTAGAGAAAATTTGACCTAATCATCTGAAAAACAGGCATTGAAAAATGGCAAAGAATAATTCCTTCGCTCAGATCTCGAAATTGATTAACCTATTGTATTGTAGAAGTTGAGCTGCAATTGTTGTTTAGGGCAGTCTTGCACGTTGTAAATGAATGGCTGGGAGGGGGGTGTTTTAACAGTCATAAGTTACTTAGTGAAGTTAAAAGATAAACATTTAACATTTTTATCAAATCTCGGATGTTCTGAAAAATGAGTTTAGCCTTACTGTATTCTTTTTTGAAAATCATTAGATAAAAAAATCAAACTTTTGTAGATTACTCCTTGTTGCGTTTCTTTTGCGTGTCAGTATATAAGAAATTCCATTTTCCTGCATCTTGTACAAATGCCTGGTAAGGTACCCTAATTTTGTGTCAGGAAACTTGTTCAAGTAACAAAACTTTAATGATAAATTCTTGGGAAAACTTTTTTTAATTTTTGAGGAAGGTGTAGTCTAACCTTAATTTGACAATCAACAATTTTAAACTAATTAAATTGTGGTTTGGTATATACAAAAGGGAAGGGAAAATAAAACTAGGTCTTTCTTATGTTACATTTTTAATTATATGATAATTGCTATGAAGTTCAGAGATTCTAGTTTAAAGAACATTAACGTATATTACAATGTCTTATAATTCCAAATTTTGTATTGCATGGCAACTATGTTGAAACGGCGACCGATAGAGCAGTGTATTCAGTTTTAGAACAATGTAACCGATGTGTTAGAATCTCGGACGGGCAAGCAGTGTGTTCACTGTTATGACTTTTTTTATCTTCCCAGTCACTGCACTTCTATTTTGAACCTCATCATCAACAACCTCCATGATCTCTACGATATTCTTCCTGCAAACGTAACCATCTAATTAAATACGACTTTCAAACATTACTTTGTTAAAGATTCATAAGATATAAAGTAAAATTTATAATTATGTTATAAAATTTACTATTTTCCATTATGTATTAAGATTTTTCACTTACGAGTCATAATGTTCGCGTAGGCTCTCTAAAAGTGTCGGTAAAAATATTCCTCCAACTTTCTTTTCACCAACTTCTATTCCAAGTGTGTTTGAATAGGCAACCAGAAAATTATTATCGTGGGGTTCTAGGTCACTTATGTGTGGATCTTACAAAGAGAAAGAAAAAAGATTATTTGATATTACAAACTCTCTCTCTCTCTCTCTCTGAAATATTTGAAAATAATGATAATTAAACGTTTGCTATAATAATTTTACTTTTTTTACCAATGCCTCTCTCACCTCTTCTCGTTTTGATCTGAAGTTCAGTAGGCGGATCCCAGTCTCCTTCATCTATTATAGTCGTCATGACTAGAGTATAATTGGTATCTGTCCATAAATCTCGGAAATAGCAAGCGTATTCATATTTGGCTTCTGGGGTACGAAGTACTTCACCTTCAATCGCGCGACTGTTCTCATTCTGGAGACACACTTTGTAGTCTAGACTCTGTGTCTCTGATGGCACAACAGCTTCATCCCAGTAAACTCGAACCTGTCGCTCAAGAGCATCTACTTGGAGATTCTGGGGACCTACACAATTTTTTGTAAACAATTATTAAAGAAAAGAAATTGAAATGCATTTTCTCGATGAAGAAAACACTTACCACATCGTGGTGTGTGACATTCTATGGGATCTGTTGCGTCTCCTTTAAGACCTTCTTTTTCGGCAGCTATCCAAATCGTATACACAACATCAGGAACCAGATCCTTCAAAATATACACTTCTCTCTTCGTCTGCACTGTGCTTACTTGTGAATTCTTGGAACGGTATGAAATAGTGTAGGTGTATAGCCTTCTTAGGGCAGTATTGGGGGGTTCCCAGTTTAGCTCAATTTCAAAAGGAGTTACACGCTTTGCTCGAAGTTCCTTAGGCTGATCTAATAAAAACACAGATTTCAAATACAGCGTCCTTGATACCCTACTTTTTAAAATTGAAATATCTTAAAATGATAAATAATTTGAGACATACTTTAAAAGTATCTGAGCTAATAATCAATTCAAATTTTATCTATTTAGCGTAAATCTTAAAGGTATAGAACTTCCAAATTCAATTTTTTTTTAACCTAAATTGTTTAATTTTGCAAGATTAAAAAAATATTTCATCCTGAATGTACCTGTACGTTTTAGATTTATAGAAATCTTGAAAGTTATAAAATGTTATTTTCACAATGATCTCCACTGGTGGACATCTGATGATGCAATGTTTTTATTGTGCAATATCGAGAATTAAAAAATGCAAAACGTTACAAAAGTAGAGAAGTTATCATTTCATACTTACGTTTAGGTAAGGTTTTTGCCGTCACTTCATTCAGAATCTTCGTTCTTTCAGCAAATATTTTAATTACATATTCCGTATTACTGTTCAAAAAATTGAGAATATGGACTTGGTTTTCTTCTGATTCATTTAAAAGTAAATAAGTTCTTTTAAAAGGATCTGGCGAAGATTTCTCCTTGTATTTGGCATAATAGTGTGCTTGTCTTCCTTCTAAGGGAAGAGGCCAGTAAATAGTTATCGAATCATATGACGTTGAAACTGCTCTCAACTTTTTAGGTTCCTCCGCTATAAAAAAAAAATAGAGATCAGTTCTAGAAAGTAACTAAAGTCACCTAAGTGAAAACATGTTCAGTATCAAATGTAGCTTATATCGATAATTTAATTAAAATGAAATGTGTTTCTGTTTCTTTTTTCATTATGATCTAGACATTGTTCGAAAAATAAAGTTTAAATTGAATCAAAATTTCTGAACAAGCTGGTATTTGTGTTGAATGTTTTCTATAAGACTAATTTACCTTTTTCTTTTATTTTATATTTTGTCTGACTAGGTAACCCTTTCTTCTTCTGTGTTGAAGCCTGTATTGACCAGATACTAATCTTATAAGTAACCTCTTTTTCAAGATGGTCGAGAACACACTTATTTGTATCAGCAATGACTTCGTGAATTTTAGTATGTATCTTCTGTTCATCAACTTTGTAGCAGTTGACAAGGTAGTTTAAATTAGAATTCTGGAAAGCTTTCGGGGGATGCCAGGTAACCTCCAGTTCATCTTGAGAGCGTTCATTGACATGGATATCTTGAGGATATTGGCCTTCAACGAAATAAGAACATTAAACTCTTATGGCATTTTGGCTAGACGTATTTGTCGTAGCTAATAAAGCTAAATTTTAAATTAAAACAATTTAACGACATAAATCACGTAAGCAGTATTTACCTTCTAGTACTTCGAGAAAGTGGAAATTAGAAATGCTAAAAATGTATGAAAATAATTTTCCCGTGTCCGAGGATTTCGAACAAAAAAAAATTATTACAATGGACTATTGTGAGAAGCAGTGCCTTTAAAAGTGAAGACTTACTTTTACACTAGGATATATAGAAACTCTTTTGCAATATAAATATTTAGCTTAAAATTTATTATAGATAATGGGTAATCTTGAATAAAGCACGAAGTACGTTGTCTGAGAAGGGAACGGAAACCATCATACCTTTCAACCTTCACCAAGTTTTTTGATATGTTTTTCTTTAATTTTGGATTCCTTTCGAAAATGAGATCGTAATAGATACTAACTTATAGGACTCTTTAAAATTATATGAGCCTGTCTTCTATTATTGTGTTGAATGTATACTGTACTTGTAAATCATCTTATGAAATGATTGATTGATTATTGTTTTTTTAACACCGAGTCGGCAATATTTCAGCATTATTTCGGCGGAATATACGAGGGCTGCTCAATAAATAATGTCCTGAGCTCTATGACATACAATATAGAAATCATTTGACATTAAGCTTGACTTTCTCTCATGATTGAATCTTTAATGAATTGTTTACAGTTTATTTAACCACTTTTCATCACATAGTTTCATTGTGAGAAGCTGAAAAACAAGGGCTATTCGAGACACTGCATTAAAAATGAATTGTTAAGAATTACTTAACAAAAGTGAAAATAAGCTCTTTATGAAATCTGCTGTAAATCTTGCTAAGAATCCTATAGAAATATTCACTAAAATATGTGAAATTTACAGCAACCAATGTCTGATTTATAGACACATGGGCAGGTGGATTTCAATGAACAAAAATGATATAATGGGCATCAAAAATGGGTACCGTCCTTGGCAACAAAGACTTACAACAACCAATGTACAGTTTGCCAAAATTCAACAAATTATCACTGATGATGTTTTATTGACTTTACCACACATAGCAAAATTGACAGGCATCATTTTGGGGGTAGTTTACACTGTTTTAAAGAAACATTTGACAGTAACAAACTTTAGTACTCGATGGTCACCTTATGTTTTGAAAAATGAGTTAAAACGACAACGTGTAAGAATATCTCAAACAATTATTTTTAAAAATCAAAAAATAAAGTTATCCGCGTTTGTCTGAAATTCAAATAGATAGTTAAACTTAAATCCATTGCTTTAAACCCTCATAACAAATTTACAATAAGATGCCACTGACAAAAACAGCAAAGGGCTAAAAAAAAAAAAAAGAGCAAAGAATCGCAAGAGGACAAAGACAGTTTCATATGGCATTTTCTTAAATATTAGTGGTCTTAATGTTCAAATTCTTATTCTGGGAGGCAGATCAATTTCTGGAGGAGTCTAGAAAGCATTTTTTTGCAAAAATTAAAAGGTTTAAGAGAGGACGGTACAAGAATCAGTAATCCACTATATTAAATTTCTTCATGACAGCGTCCAAACCCACACGCCATGCAGAGTAAAGTAGTTTTGGGGATAAACAGAACGGTTCACACCAACAATACTCATCAGATCATTAACCCTTTGACTTGTTTCATTTTCCAAACTTGAAAAAACACCTTTCAGAAAGAAGAAACAAGTCAAGGAAATCATAGGATCTGTCAAATTCCAGTATACGAAGGACTATGCTCAAAAATGTGTTATAAAAACAAACAGAAATTGGATAAAAATGTTACGGACAGTGTTTGAATTAAAAAAAATATTAAGTAAAATCTTTAAGGCTACATCCGTGAAAAGCTTTTTTTTTTTTGTTTCTTTCCGAGCACCGAGGACATTATTTATGGAACAGCCGTCGTATATATGAAAAGAAGAAAACACTTGTTGTGGCCTTAAAACCGACATTTAGATAGATCGATTACGTATTGTCTATAAACAATGGTTATTTCCTTTCATATTTTGATACTATATACCCTTGTGAAACAAGAATATCAGCATCTTTTAAAGTCATCATTTTGTAAGTTTTATGGTCGATACAATGACCTTTTCAGCTAATATACTTTATCATTGAATCAAATGCTGACTGACGTTTTTCATACTAATTTTTAGTCCATTATGCATACACTGAATTGACGACGGGTTTTTCTATTATCTAAAAAATCATGACAATGAGCACATGGTGGGTGTGACTGGTTGGCAGTGGATGCTTACTCCTCCATGGCACTTGATCCCGCCTCTGATGCTTTGGAGGTCCTTGTTTGCTCGTGTTTTTTGTATTGTGTCATAGATTTTTGATCTTGAATTCTGTTCGTTATCTCCATATGTTTTATTCTTAAAGATGAGTCGAACATTGTTTGAAATAATGGAGGAGTACAAAAAAGTTAATGGGGCAGACGATTGATTGTATGTTGTTTAACGTCTCTCTCGAGAATTTTTCATTCATATGGAGCCCCCACTTGCCGGTGGAGAACACCTACAAATTTTGTCCTATACTCGGCACTCATAGCCATTGAGCAGAAAGGGATCATTTTCGTGCCAGCACCTACTGCGACACGGAACCTCGGTTTATACTATCTCATCCAAATAACTGGTCTCCACGTCCCACTGTGGGATTCGAGCCCGCGACGTAAGGATCAACTCCTTACATCGCCACTCTAGAGCAAGGGCAGACGAAGAACATTGTTTGGAATGAGTGGCCATAAATACTAAATATTGCTTTTGCTTAAAAAAAAAGCATATTCAAATATTGTCTGTTTCTCAAGAAGAAAATCAACATAATTTAACAGCTTCCTGACCTAACCAAACTATTGAGCATAGAAAAACACCGAAGGAATAAAAAAAAAACACTGCTCCTTTTTTAATAAGAGGGTTCACCGAATAATATTTCATACTGAATATTCTAGAACAAAAAAAATAGCAATATAAGCAAAAATAAGGTTGACTTCATCAGTATGAATGATAATATCCAAAACTTTCAAAATGTTCGTACATTTTCGTAAACCCTTGGATCAATTGATTGCATGTTGGTTTAAATTTGCGTTCTATTCGAGAATTTTTTCATTTCAACATCGACATATATACAAGTTAAGGGCTTCAAATTTAGACCTTTAATTAGCACTCAGGGCTAGAGCAATGACGGATCTTAGAGGCTGGGGTTTTAAGGTCTTATCCACAGGACCTGCTACTTTCACTCAAACTGCCAAGTTTACAGAACCTAGAGAATAATCGTTAATTGTTTCACCACTCATTTCTCATAGGAAAACCGCGTTAACATTGAATAGTACAAGAACTTTTTTCAGAACTCTATATATTTGTATCATTGTACTTTTAATTTTTTTCTTTTTTTCTGAAAAGGAAGAAGCAAGTGTTAGGGCATTTGCTTTAGAGAAGTGAGTTGATCCTTAGGTCGCAGGTTCAAATTTCACTGTAGAAATCCTTTGGATGAGACCATATCAACAGAGGTGTCGTGTCGAAGTGATACCGGCACGAGAAAGACCCCTCACTGTTCATGGCCTTTCCCTGTTTGTCCCAAGCACAAGTTTAAATTTGCGACCCTCCATTGGCAATTTGCAGCGATACGATGTGAGTGAAAATTTACGAAGGAACGTAAAACATATATTATATCAAAATGGACGGTTTCTTGTAATGTTATTAATTTTTCAATTTTATTATATAGTAATTATTTGCTAAATTTGCTTTACCGTGTCGTTCCATCTTCATAGGTTTAACATCAATGAAGAAAAATTTAGGTTTTTCATTAAAATGCAACCAGTTCTTTCCATTCAGCAAAGAAAATAGCTGTTGATATTCAATCATTTCTTCGTCCATTGTCCTAAATCCTTCTAGATTTCCATAACTGAGAATTATGCAAATAAACATCCGATGACTGTCAAAATCGAGTCTTTGAGTGAGTTTGTCTATTTCACTTAAAATTGATGCCCTTGTGCCATTCTTTATTCTTCTAACATAATCACCTTCTACTTTCCAGTCGCGTTCAAACAAGCGCGTGATTTCACCTGCAATAAATCAATCCATGAAATGGAATACCATAATTAACCATTAAGTCTGCATATTCTCTTTGAAAGTAGCATTAGAAATCTGAAATATTGAACTAAATTGTATAAGAATGATGGAGCGAGACAGAAAGAGGAAGAAAGGGTTGGATGTGAGTTTTGAAAAAGTAAAAAAAAAGTTTTCAAAAATCAACTTTTGAATTACTATTGACAGTGCATATTATCAGGTCAATGAATAACACGTGTTTTGCTACTTGTTTTAGTCGTTCATCGCTTATCGTTCGTTGGATGCTTGCGTAAACAATTGGACATTTTACAGCTTCTTCTTTGACACCACTAAATCTTTAACCAAATTGAACACAGATTAGTAAAAAAGAAGAGGGATGTGGGGAAACAGTCAGTTTTATGGTGTTTGACACCCTTTAGCATGAGTGTCGAATTGTACTCATCAAATTAAACTTATTTAAAAACAATTTCTTAGTTTCAGAAAACAAAACAACCTTTCTTTTTTCTTGGGGGGGGGGGGTAGCTTTTAAGTAACTTCTTTTAATATCTTCTTTTCTCCCCCAGATTATTTAGCAAGTAAACATAGCACTTGGTTATAAATTCGAAGAGCAAGGTTGAAACTACTATTTCCTTATAAGTATCATGCAAACATACAAATGCGTGGTTATGAATAAGATCTTTGCATTTTTTCGGAATTGTAAAATTACTGAGCACTTGGTCTGGGATTATTTTAACTATATAATCACATGCATAAAACACTATATTATCCTTTAATGAGTACTTGATAAATCTCAGATCATTTATTTTGCTTTTGTGAAAAATATTTTTACACATGTATTGTGTTTTGTTTAATACTTGTTTGAAAAGTTTACTTAGAATACCTATTAGGAAGTTTCTATCAATTTAATTTCTAACAAATATTCATGTTTATTAACATTTTGTTTCTTATTCTGTTCATTTGATGAAATTATATTCTTATAACATTAAACTGCTCAAAAAGCGTATGAAATATAGTTTTCCTAATATAAGGAGCGAAAAAAAAATTATCAATTTTAACAGTTAGTTTTTAATTAAAAGTTATAATGACAAGTGCCTTACTTTGAACTTTAGCTGCTGATGATAAGTGAGGAGATCTGGTGAACATTTCGTTTGTTATAATCAACAGAATGCCTGGGAAAAGAAAATATAATTTTAAAATGTGAAATCGCAGATAACTTTGTAAAGTAGAAATAAAATCAAAGTCATTCTTTGCTGTTATGACGGACAGCAATTTTCTTTTCCAAGTCAATCAGTTTTTAAAATGAGAGTGAAGATAAAGTTTTACGTTTTGGACAGTTTTTTCTCCTGACTGGTTTGAGGATATCTGTAATATAATGGAGACTATATAAGCATTTGCATAGTAGATTTATGATGTTTGAAAGGTATTTGATTAACATTATTTCAAGACTTACCCATTTGAATCTTAGATCGAAGATGTTTGGGAATTTTTTCACCTTTGTTTAGACCTAAAATTGTAACATTTTACGTTTTACTATATCTTTTAAGACCAGAATTAAGCATTGTTTTTTATTACAGTTGGCATACATACAAAAGTAGTGCATAATCATTTATAAAATCATTTATGATTCCGTTTACTTACGTTTTTGCAACTCTAATGTTTTCTCAAGTTCATCCAGTATCTTGTTTAGTTCTTTTGTACGCTCTATGACGAAAAAATGTAAAATGTGTAAATTTGATAGACAGAAACAAACAAGATATAAACAATACGCATCACTTGATCTGTTGTTCAAAGAGAGCTTAACAGTTATATATATTAAATATTTCAAAATTTTCTAAAGACTATCATATTTTATAACTTCCCTAACAAAAAAAATCATATAGTTTACTAAACATAACTATAGTGAGTACTTTGATACTTTGATTTACTATGAAACTTTACTCTAGAACTGTTTTAAAGATTTAGATCTTGAATATTTCTTAAATTACTTGACAATGATGTAATTTTTTTTAAATATGTAAAGATACAAAAAATATTCCTTCTCCATATTAGAAAATTAGAAGTAAATGAAGAAATAAATCAGAAAAAAGTAGTAGAAAGTTAATAAAATAAAATAGATCTATCTGTAATTCACTGTAAATTATTTTGATTTAGTAAGTGGAAATTTTTATTAAATATAGCTAACTATAGTGCTAAAGTGAGATATATTTTTATTCAAAGCTAATTCACTATGAATTAGCTGCTTTTATCGAAGGAAGTGCATATCTGCCTTACCTAAGTCTCAATACTTATATCTAGTGATTATCGTCCTTGTCAAATATTTTAGTTGATTATTGCCCTTTTAATAAAAACACCTGAGGTCGCTTTGGTTGCAACTTCCTTTTTCAATATTCCAGCATCATCTTGGGTCGGTAAAAAATTTCCAGCTTGCTATTGTGTATTATAAATTTGAAACACCCACCCACCTCATCCATTTAGAATAGATGCTGCTTTTCTGTTTTATTTTATGCTTTCAGAGGAAGACTTGGAGCGAATATCAGTCTCAACATGACAGGACTTGCGAGATGAAGCTATAGGGTCTTGGGCAACAGCTAAGGGGATCGAACCACAAGTACCTCTACGGGCTCACACCATTCTGGACTTAATTTAATGTGAAAGCGATGTTAGGAACACCTATTTATATGGAATTGATTCATTCCAAGAGCAAATCATGCACCATTTTAGCAGGAGCCAATAACTTTCCTTTAATCACAATGTTAAAACAATAATGTTGATTTATAGAATCTGGTACGGCTGTCCGTTTCTTTCCGTCTGAGATGTGCGTAAACGAGCGGCACTAAGTAACTATCCTTATATGCAGTCAGGTAACTCATGAAAGTTGAAAAGTAAACTTTGGATTTAGATATACATAAATAAGTGCTTGACCTCTGCACCTCCCAGGGTCAAGGCTTTTACCACTTTCTGAGATGGTGTTTGTGAACTTTGACCTTTGAACTCTGAACCTGAGTTTGAATATTTGATATTAATTTATGTAATCTTTGTTTTGTTGTGTTGCCAGAGACACCAACAGCTTTTCATAATTTGTGTCTTTGGATAAACAGCCGTGCCAAATTATCGCCACAATAAAATTTATTACATGAATACTTCATGTTTTTATATGCACTTATCTGAGATAAACTTTATAGTACTTATTTTGTTAGGGTACGTAGGAGCAAATCTTACGTGTATATGACTCTGTCTCACTTCCAGCTTGACTTACAGTTGAGTCTAAGGAATAGAATGAGTTTTAATAAAATTGTCTTGAGAATATTAAGTGTTTTGAAAATATTGATATTTGTAACCAAAGTGACTTTCAGTAGGTTTAGAAAACACCATCGTCTGTTCTGATACCATGTACGTTACCTTAAATTTTTGTAAGTAAATTTGTTAAAGTTTACTTTAATACTTCAATGACAATTTCATAGGAAATTTTATACTATATTTAAGAACATGTTGTCTGACTTACATTTACAATTTTAAGTACCGGAAAATATTAAAAAAGATCTTTAACAAATTCGAACTTTAACTAATCAAACACCCTCTACATCAAATATTTCCAAGTAAGCTACTTACTCTCTGGAAATAGCGTCATGTGTTCAAAGGGATCTGAAAAGACACAATTGAAAAAAAAATACAAAAAGATAAAAACAAATGTTCATAAAAGAAGCACCATTATTTACAATGAAAAAATCATCACTTTTTTCTTCTTCCGGTTCTTTTTCCTCTTCCGGTGGCGTAGGTGGTGGCGGTTTGCGGGCCCTCTCATATGCAGAAACTTTAATATCAAAGTCTGTATCTTCTGGAAGGTCCTTCAGAAGATACCTATGATCCTTGGTCACTGCCTTCGTCCACTCCGAGTCTGTTTTTTTCTTCCACTCCACCTCATACGACATGAGCCCCCTCACTCCTTGTGGTGGCCCCCATGTCAATAATATTTCCGTTGCCTTCATGTCGGCTCTCAGATTAGTAGGTACAAGAACCTCACCTATGATTACATTTTACATGTGTTGCTGAAATTCTTGATTTTTAAAGTGTTTCAAAGGTAAATATTAAAGATTTATTTTCAAAAGATTATTTTTTTTATCATTTAAACCATATAAATAAATCAATAACAATTGAAAATTATGATGATTTAATTAAGTTATTAAGTATTATTAAGTATATGTTGTGTACAAAATAATGGAAAATTTTTGTCATAGAATTTACCTGGGTCTAAAAGGTCGCTGGGTTCTTCCTGCAGGGTTTGTAATGGCTGTAATACAGATAACATCAATATCATACTCTGACTACGCAAATTCTTAATAAAACTGGATTAAGAATTTCGATTACTTTAATTAACGTCAATTTTTCAACTTACCGGTGGTGAAGCTTCAAGCACATCATCATCCTCCGGGTAATCATTTTCTTCATCTATAAGAGCCGACATGATGAAGGATGCAAACTTTTGACGTCCATTAAGACCCCTGTTAACCCATCGAAATAAACCGTGTGATTGTTTAACAATTTCACAATGAGCGGAATTTAAATACTTGATTTGTAAGATGTCCTATTTAACGCAAGAAGAAACAAAAGCTGCAGTTATCAATTATATCTCTTTTATTCAATCATTTGAACGATAACACTAAGGCTTTTAAAAGAAGAATACCGAATGTGTTATCCGTTGAAATACACAATAGTTATGAGCAGATAAATTTTGCAATTAGGGCGGGACGTTATATTTCTGACAAAATGAATTTCTGTTGAACATGGGATAAAAATAGGAAAACAAGACAAAAATTCTAATCAAGGTAATTATCTTGTACAGGTTATCTTGATTTTGATTGTTTTTTATTATAATTTTCAGTTATTTTAATTTATATCGATTATGCAACACTTCATTTTATGTTAGTCTGGGTCATTTGGATGAGAATCAGAAAGAAGGAACGTGTAATATTTTCATATTTTCAGGATAAAAGAAAATGTTCATAGGATCAAAGGAAAAATAGGAAGACACCATGGGTTCGTTCACACAATATTACATATATATATTATAGACCTTTAGACAATATATGTCCCGAAATTTTCATATAGAAAATATAAATAAATGAAAATGTTATGCTTTGATTTAGAGATATTAAACTGGTTCTTAAAGGATTAAGTCGAAGGAAGAAAAAACAGTAATGGTTTATGTTTATCTGTCATATGCTATCTTAGAATATGTAACTTTGTATAATCCTCTCAAACCACTGGATCATAGGTAGTTTAAGAATGAAACAATCGAATTAATATACAAGTTATTAAGAATTAAAAGAAAAAGAGTTGTAACACTAAATAAGTTTGTTTGCCTAAAAGGTTAGTGCATAGAAACCCAATTATAAATAGTTACAAAATTCTTTGATAGATTAAAATAAAGTGAATTTATTATAATGAAAGAATGGGCATGTTATGTTATGAACAGGAGGATTTCAGTGCAAAATGTAAAGAAATAAACACAATAATGTTTGGAATAAATACTCGTACACTTAGAATGATGTCTGTATTTCTCATATTACATGAAAAAGAGTAGTGTTTGGATGAAAAAACTTCACTTGTATTGTAAAACCACACATTCAAGACGTGGTGTAAATTGTGGATTTAAAAAAAAGCCAGTTTGTTTGGGAAAAACTTTTGTGAATATTTTTTGACAGCAGGAACTACAAAATGGAACTCAGAAAGTTTATATCTTAGGACTGGTTATCTACAGCAATCTAGTGAATTTCTGATGGAATTTATCGTGCCCTTTTTAAGAAAACCATATATTATATCTAATGAAGCAAAATTTATTCAAAAACTTCGACATGAAAAGGCAGCTCGATAATTTTAATTCACATGTTGTCTCGATATATATTCCAGCGGAATCCAATTAAAGACAATATCTGTCGTACATATTTCATGTTGGATGTTTATGTTTATCTTGTATATTAATTAACTTATATAGTCGGTCTGAAAGGGATGGTTACTCCTCTTAGGTACTGATCTACGGAAGCCGGTTGGGACAAGGTAGAAAAAAATTATTACATAGCGCCCGTCAGATAACCTTCTTGTGGCTGCAAGACCTATTTATCGGGCGGCCTCCAAATATAATTATCTGGCGGCCGCTAGAAAAAATATTTTCTAACTGGCACTTACCGGCTTCCCTACCGATCAAACCTCTGGTGTTTCTAAGGATGGTGTCTTTTACTATTTTCACGAATCATTTTGTTAACTACATGGGTGATTGATAGCTGTTCGTTATCTTCTTATTTTAGATAAATATGTTATTTAACTAAAGGAATAATATGCAGTGTTAACACCCATGGGTTTATTATGCTGTTAAATTCAGGGTTAATATCGAATTCGATGTTCTTTCCTATTTAGAGAATTAGAGAATTATTGAACTTATGAATCACTCTTTTTTCTTCAGCTCGAAAATTTAGAAGGATGAAACTTTTTCCAGAAGGTACAATATATTCTATATATTGAATGTACACTTTTAAAATCACAAGCACTAGAGGTTTAATGAAACCTTCAATAAATCTTGAAAAAGTACGTCAATAATTTGTTTGAAATACAGTTTTTGATTATACTTATTCCGACACTTTTTACATATTTTTGGAACACACAACAAGAGTTTTTATATACCCAATATAATCCAATATTGAGCACACTAACAAGCAGGTGAGATTTTCAACCAAATTTGCATGAGCATTCACAATAATATTTTTAAATAATCTAATCACAATTTTTAACTGTATAATCATCAAAAACAACGAATAGATCAGATTTATTACTTTTGCGCAATGTTTATATATTTTTACTCATTTAACTTCATCTCTCATTTAGACTCCTTTGAAGGTCACGCTGGAAGTTTGCCTGACACATATAGAGGTAAAATACTAAAAATAAGTCAAATTTCAAAAATTCATTTTTTACATGAGCATCACCTAATTGAAAACAATGAGCTTTAAGATGAGGACAAAAATTAATATTTATGATTTATCTATGATTTATGGTGGTCATTTTTGACTCTATACTCATACTAAAATATAACATAAACCTTTAATTTTGTCTTTAACAGGGAGAGATGAAGAAATGTCAAAGATCCTCAGAGATTCAGGTATAGTTACTCGAATGGTTTAGAACAAATTATGTTTTTGAATAATGTTATTTAATTTAATTGCCCTTTCCTTCTCAAATAAGCCTATGGAATCTTAAAGAGATCTTTTTTCCTGCAGTGGTGGTGAAGTTTTCTGGTTTATTTGATTTACTGAGTACATGTAGCTTTACATATATAAATCTTACTGAGGGATTGAAAGTCTAAAGCCCTTGTAACAAGTTATTTTATCTCATTAAAAAAAATTGTTTTTCTTTACATCAATATTGTTTCATTTCATTTAAAACAAAAAGTTTTCCTTCACATCGGTGTTTTGGGAAATATAAGAAAACCATTTTAATTTAATGATTTTATGATGTAATATTCTAAAGATTCTTAATATTGATTTTCACTTTCTTTGTACATCCTTGACATTTGAGATTGAAACATTTGTGGAAATTCTTCTAAAAATTTAGCCACTTTTAATTTTGATTTACATTGTTACTATGAACTTTTGATATATTAACTTATTTTCTGCCTTACTTTTAAGCTGATTGTCCAAAAACGATTGTTAATATTGCTTTTTTTATACTTCTGTTTGCATTGTGTGTATATGTGTGTTAATTATTTCTGGTCCAGAAGGAATGACATGTAATCCTGTGTTAAGATTAAACACAAATACATCTTACACGTAGAAAAGCATGCATTAATGTCGACAGTTGACAATATAGATTGACTGATTGTATATTGTTTAACGTCCCTCTCGAGAATTTTTCACTAATGTGGAGACGCCACCACTTGTCGGTGGAGAGCAGCAAATTTTGTCCTATACTCGGCACTCACGGCCATTGAGCAGGGAGCCACTTAATGCGACACGGGACCTCGGTTTATACGGGTTCACAATAAAGGACATTTAATTGAACTTTACAAAAGGGGTGTTTTCCCTAATCCTACCCCTATTCTCCCCATCCACCTCTCACATCCTTTATTCTCCTCCCTTTCTTTCCGAATTCCATCTTAAATTCCTTCCTTCTCCCTTTTCTTTCTATCCCTTTAGCTCGAACCTTTTCATTCAGTTCCTAATTACCCTGTTTGACCCCTCAAAATCTACTTAGAGACAAAGAGCAGTTCGATATGACATGTCAGCTAGTTTTGTTGATGTTTGTTTAAAACTGGAACAGAAAACAATGACTGGTGTCATGTATCGGGAATCTGATATAATAATTTGTAATTTGTTTTGAATTTTAACCACCAATATCTAAGTTTTAATTGATACCCGAATGCTTAAGTATAAAAACATTTTAAAGTTTGAACCGTTATTTATTGTTGAAAAATTCATCAAGAACTGAACACATAGCCCTCTTTACCACTTGGTGAGTTCGATTTCCAATTTTTTTTTATTAATATCTCTAAGTTGTTTATGATTCTTACTACTTCTTACTACAAGAATTCAGTTATATTTTCTTCGAATGGAATCGGTTAAGGTCTTTTTTTTAATTAAAAAATTTTCTGTAGTCCTTTGAATGGAGACAGATGAAGCTAAAATCGGTATGTTGTCATGATAACAAAAATGCCCGAAACATAATGCTTGAAATAAATTTGCATGATTTTATCTTTAGTTCGAATATTTTAGAAACAAGAAATACATGTATATACTAAATATTTTTCACCTTTTTTCGATTTAATCTTTTTTGTTGTTTTACACTTCTATTCTTTTAATATAACAATCAAAATAATTATATCATTTGCGGTTTAAAATAAAGTTCTAAAAATGTCAAAAAATGTTTTATGACAACAAACATGAACTCTGGAATAAGGTACCTAGTCACTTCAAAAGAATCAGAAGAAATGAGTGTAGATACAATCTTCACAGTGTACAATTGTGGCGTGTCTCAGCACCCAGTAGTTTTGTGTGTATTTGTCCCTTTAAACCCATCAAAGGAGGTCCGCACTGAAAGACCATGACAAACAGCTTTATATGCCTCTAACTCATCGCAGTTTAATTACAGTGAATAAATTTGATATCCAACGTACAGTACATTTGTACTTGATTTAACACAAAGGTAAATCATTATTAATTACAATAATATTTGTCAACTGATTTATGGAAGGCGTATTGGAATAAAATCATATTAGAACTTAAACTAGTCATGTATTACACATTTATCTAAAAATAACTTAGATTTTTACTTATGCGTGAACCAAGTTACCCTTTAAAATATAGAAAGGATAATATCCGATATCTCTTTTATTAGATCGATTCAAAGAGACAGAATAATTAAGGAAATGATAGATTGTAATAAGATACTTTTGTTTATACATGAGATTCCATCTTGTTTAGGAAATTTTGAACTTTTGAAGGTCCATGTTTGCTCTGCTCATATTTTGTATAGTTTGATGGACTTTGGGCTTGAAAACTGTTCGTTATCCCCATATATTTTAAAACATGAAGATTATTTTTAGAAAGCTGAATATGATTGACATATTTTATGTATTGAACTCTATCTAAGGCCATTATTTTAAAAAGACTTAAATTATTGATTCTTGAAGACAATGCTGAGAGTTTGAAATCAAAATATAACAGAGGCAGTGTTACAATTGATTTTGCTTTTTACCACAATGAATTGTTCTTTGATAGATATTAACCCCCTCCAAATATACTTTAATATACTAGCATTATTTAATGTGATACATACACCATTTACACTTGCTAGACTAAATATGGGAGAAGAAAATCTTTCTCAAGCTTTAAGTTTTATTTATTTATTTATTTATTTATTTTTGTTTTGTTACTAACAAGTAACGCATTTATCTACTAAAAGTTATTATGCTGGCTAAGAGAAGAGGAATTCATCAGTAAAATGTTACAACTGACAGGTTTGGCAGAAAAATTCCACTCGATTCTCAACAATAAGAAATTTGAAGAAAACTGATACTTCAGTTCAAATGAAGATTTTTTTGAATTTTTATTAATCTTCTTAATGTTTTCACACACTGAATGCTTCAATCTCAATACATTTAATCAATTAACATTTGCCAAAATAATGATGCATTCTTGTATATCTTAATATTAGAAAAATCATATGGAATCATGAGGATTGTTCGGCAGGGCTTAATTTGATAACTACTTTTACGCAGGTTTTTCTAAAGTTGTATAAGTTTGTTAGATTTTTATGAATTTAATAAAAAAGTCACTCTTTGTAATCGCTTTTCTTGTTTTAACTATATTAAATCAGTTGAATTTATATCTGTTATTTCAATTTCATGCAAGGACAAACATAAAAACATTTGCTGGATTGGACCTAATCAAGATTTTTTTTTTATTTTTAATCCCTCTCCTCTGTGATAAATACATGTATTATATACATTCCTTAGTACTTTATTTTGTAATTAAATTACACATTTACATTGTACTTAAAGACGAGGAATTGGTGGAAGATGAGCCAATCAGCAAAGAAGAAAAGGAGTCATCTGAAAAACAAACTCCGCGGCCAAGCCGCTTTCAACCTCCAAAACAGCCAAAGGAGAAAAAGGAAGTCATTCGTGAGTTACTGCTCTTCCAGATAAGCTTTTTAAAAATATGAATACAATATGGCTATGTTTTGTAATTTTTTTCCAAAAATATATATCAGAGAGAATATTTTGTCTGTTAATGGAATAGCATTAGACTGCAAGAATTCATAGTGGAAAATGTTGGAGAAGGGGGTTCTTCTTGAATAAAGAAAACACATGTTATATAATCCTAGTGCGATGCCTTCTGTATTTATTATTATAGATAAGAAACCAATTCGTAGAAACAAGACAAAGGTTCCTCGCGTTCGGACACTAAATGTGACCCCGGGAGTCAAAGAAGTAAAAGTAACATGGGAAATATTTCCCAAAGAGGAATTTAGTGACATTCAATTCATTGTTCAGTGGAGAAAGAAAGGTGAACAGAAAGGTTGGCGGAGAGGTGAAAGTACGAAACTCATCTACATCATCAAAAACCTGGCTCCGGAAACAGAGTATGAAGTCAAGGTTGCCGCCTTGTGGGAGAGAATTATATCTCCATCAGAGCAAACAAATGTGACAACTGGTATTTGTTTCTTAATTAAATGGCTTTAACTTAAACTTAACATTAACTCAGATACATGCAGTCAATGGCAAATTTCACCAATGCAATGTACGAATTACAAATTAAAACAAAGCGAAAATGTTTGGTGCCAATTTTATTCCACTATATGTATATTAAATCAAATAAATTTTATGAAGTATTCGTAGACTGCATAATTCCTTTTTAAAAAGATCCTTTCTTTTTTATAAGAACCATTGCCACCTACACCAGAGAACGACAAAGAAGAATTACACTCAGCTGTTGATTCACCAAGCGACACTCCTGTCGAGTACGCTCAAAGAAGTAAGAGTTAAAGTTTATATAATTACACAAAAAACAAATGATCAATTATAACTTGAATCTTTAATTATTGAGAAATGTAACGTATATTTTTGCATTCATGATCACTAAAAAACTTTACCCATTTTCTTATATTTATAATTTCCTAGTATCATTAAAAAAATGAAACATTTCGTATATTCATTTTAAATTAGAACATTTACCTATATTTTTTGTATTCAAGATACAGTTAATTCTCGATAAACCGCCACCTTTTGTAATTTAGAAATCATGGCGTTATAACGAATTTGGCGATGAATTGAATTTCCCACGTTTAGGAAAAAGTCCAGTTGACCGTTCTTAGAACACAATTTAGTGTTTCTATTTTGTAACATGTACATGTACATATTAAAACATATTTCTAAGTTTTTTTTTCAAGTAATTTTTTATGTACAATTTCGCTAAAACAAAATGTGCAGTTATGAAATAAAGACAAGCACATGTGGATGATTAAATCTGCACGAATACTGAAAAAAAAATGCTGGGTTCACGTGTGATATATTGCATAAAAATGAATTCTTGGAAAATTCATTGTTTAAGCCATCATTGTTAATAAAACGTTCACAATTTATACCGTATAATTATTTTTTTAAGCAAATTTTGCATTGTTTAAAGCAGAGATCATCAAAATAATATCGTTATCTTGTTCTTAAACAACGACCGCCTTCGTGGCAAAGCCGTCACTAAATGATTTTTATTAAACAGAAAACAAAATTATCATAACAGTTCATGTTAAAATCATTGTTTATTTGATTCTTTTTAATTATTTAATTGCATAACCTTATATTTTTGCATGCTTTACAACAGGGATAGCGTCAAAAAGCTTCACTACCACATGCACCTGTGGCGGTATATCGATTTATACATTAAAAATGGACGTTTGTTGTGAAAACAGGGTGGCGGATGGCTACATTATAAAGAGAATATTATATACTTTAAAAACGTTCTTGGCAAATCATTTACCTAAAATTTTTTTTTTTGGCGATATTCAAATTGACTGTACATTAAAAACCTTACCTATTTGACTTGTATTCATTATATTCTCAGAACTTTGTGCAATTATCGTTAATGACCGTAAAGGTGGGATGCATACTGAGCTAAATATCAGATCACGTAAGTGCTGTTTATGTTAAATAAATCGATCATCAGTTTTTTTTCGGATTAAATGAAAATGTCCTTTTTATTTGTTTATCAATTATACTCTAATATTTATCAACTTTCACTTTCCTATAGAATTAAGAGTGTATAAGTGTTGCACTCAGCCATAAGCACGTTTGTTAATTCAATCAAACAATATTTATGTTTGGATTTTATTTTGATATTTACATGAAAGCTATATATTTGTGTTTTATATCTGTTAAATATCTAAATCCAGGTCTACTTTGTTTACGATTTGATTCATCAGTACGTGTTCATTTATTTCATTTAGGAGAAATTTTTGACTTCTTTGACAAAGTCTTGCGTTTCAAAACTGTTGTCAAATTGGAAAATCAAACAAGAGAGAAGGTGCGAGACTGGTTTAAAGCATTGGATAGAAGTAAAATGTTTGACGGATTCGAAATGTTCGTGTGTGTCCTCATAGGTTTTGGTGATTACAATGGATTTTATGGATGTGATGGTGAAATGGTTACCTTTCATGAAATTTACAAGCAAACCAGGGAGAAGTTTGGCAAAAAGCCAAAAATTATTCTTGTGGACATCATAAATATCCCCTCCTCAAAAGGTATCACTGTTTACTACCAAGTTTTCTGTGCTAAGAAATATGGAATGATGCATAGAAAACAATCTTTTCATTTGAATTTTACCCTTTTCTATTATACAATAAAATTAAAAAGATGGGAAATTCAAAAATAACTTTGAATTTTGAAACATGCCTTTAACTTAGTATTTATTCATAATTAAAACATAAAGATTTTCAATATAGTGCCATCGATGAAAAGTGCCGACGTACGAATAATGGAAAACTCCTCCAGGGAAGTTGTTCTTGAGTGGACACCGCCGCGCTACCAGGAGAGTGATATCCAGTTTCACATAGAATGTTTCAAAGGCTCAAATAAAGTAATGGAAGTATACCAACCAAACACTCGTATAGAATTTGAAAATCTAGAACCAAACACGCATTATAGATTCCATGTAACGCCGATTCTTAGAAAGGAAGGGAAGCCATACGGAAGTTCAGTATATGCAAAAATTAAAACCAAGGCAAGAATAAAAGGTACATGTATTGCTATTAATTTTTTAAAGGAAACAAACACATAAAAGAATCTATGATGAAGAAGATAAACATTTTCTGTTTAATTTTCTTTGACAGATACGGATAGTTTAGAAGTTCGAAATTTGTGTGCACAGAGACTCTCAGAAAAAGAGATACTGATGTTCTGGCATCCCCCTGGAATCAAGAAAACTAGTCATTTGTCTTACGTAATTTCCTGGGTAGATCAGACTAATCTTACCAAACGTTCAGAAATGGAAACAAAGAAAAATTCGTGTATTCTAAATGGTCTGCAGTCCAATTCAGAGCAGCTGGTTAAAGTGGCTGTTAAAGCATATGACAAGACCTTTTTCCCTCTTAGTTGCCATGTTCCACAATTTGAAGGTAAACATAAAAGTCTAGCATATTAAAGTATCTCTACGATTGCTTTCATATTTATTACCTTTTAAGTACAATTCCAAAGTTATTTTTTGAAAAAGTTGTTTTATTTACAGAGTCTCGTTTTCTTTTAGATGTTTTGAGACCTACTCAAGTGACGGCAATAGCAGAATCACATTCGGTGTTTTGGGTGGATTGGCAATTTCCAATAGATAAACAAGAACTTATTGAAAAGTTCATCGTTCATTGTTCAGAATGCTTGTCTTTCAGAAATAACCGTACAAGGTCTTTTGAAGTTATAAAAGACCTACGGAGTTTACCGGTAAACTATATACCGGAACTTTTTTATCATTACGTAAAAGTGTCACCAATAGCCAAGGAGGGTTAGTACCTGAGATGATCTTTTGTGCTTTAATTCGATTAATGAAAAAAGCTTCTTTTATGAGTATGTAAATGTAAGTTATTAAAATTATTTTTTCAATAAAATACCTATCTTTTTTTCACAGTTTCCTCCAGTGAAAAAGTCCATGAGTCGCTTATTGCTCGAATTGAAACCGGTGAGTGACCAAATAATCAAACAAACTAATTTATGTAAAATTAACAGACATTTTTTGATATTTTGAAGATAAATACATTTATCACTTAGTTTGAGTTTTTGTTTTAACATTTAGTGTTTTCCTGCATTAAACAAACGGACTCCCCACAGAGTTTCAAAATATAAACATAAAACATCAAATAAACATCTTTCTACTTTTACTACTAATTTTAAATAACTACAAATAATTTTTATTTTAGTGCTTTAAGAAAGGGGAAGTTGTATCACATTAAATTTACGCAAGGGATTGACCATTTTGATATTTGATTGTTGTGTTACAAACTGACGTCAAATAAGCATTTTACAATATACTCAGTATTTAAGTTTATTAAAAAAAAAACGGTCAAAAATCGTAACTATAGGTAATACCTAAAAGTTAATGTGTATAATTTTCAACAAATCAAATTCGACACTTTGATGAAATAAAATCTTAAACAATCAAGATTTATAAATACACAGGAATCGCATTATAATAAATTGCGACTATTTTCGACAGGTTGCAACGAAGAGATAAATCCATTTTAGTTTCCAAGAAGGACAATTCTTGGAAAAGAATTTTTAACTGTATATACACAAGCAAATATGCTTCTTCAAAATTGAGAAATTCATGGTCCCTGGGCCAGGGGTTCTAATTTAATATACAACTTTATATCATTTTATAGAGAAACACAACATATATTTATAAAATATTTTCTGTTATTCTTGATATTAAGGACAGATGATACAAACAAACTTTTGTAAAAAAAAAATTGAAAATAACACTTTGAGTCATGTTTTAACGATTAAAATGAAGTTTCACCGCGTTATTTTTAATTTTTTATTCAAATTTTCAAAAAAAAGGGATTTGAAGTGAAAAATATTTGTAAAAATTAATAAGGATGGTTTCACAGAGGAAGAATTTAGAACAACATAGAAGGTTAACACTTTCTTTATATTCTAGATTTATTATTTGCATCATTTACAATGAAACAAAGAAATATATACCAATCCAGGCATCTTTTTTGTTTGTATCATCTGTCCTTAAATAATACAAATGGATGTTTGAGCATTGTATTTAAGATGATCATTAATTGATGTCCTCACTTTTATTGAGGACAAATATAACAATTACAAGGACAGTTTGGAATTTATTTTGTGTTCTGTTACATGTATACTTGTGTGATGGCTAAGACCCTTGGGATGTTTGCCTTTTATAGATAAAGCACTGAGGCTATTTGTCTCTTCAAAAACCAGCAACTCGTGTGAGCTTATATGGTGGGTGGATATACAGGACAGAGAAATGGTTTCCACCTACACGGCACATTGTTCACCCTCAGATCCGAAGAAGAAAAAGTTTAAGCCAGTCCCCCTCAAGCTTGGGCCTGAATGTCGCCAAACTCATGAAATAGTAAACCTGGAGAGCGACACGACTTACTTTGTATCGATCTACCATCAGAGGAAGATGTACACACAACAGATTAAAGTGAAGACTCTTCCCAAAGGTGAGCAACTCTAACTGAAATTTATTGGAATAGAGTTGTTTTTCATGCCATAGGCAATTTTGAAGAAATAAATATAATCCATAAATTAAACAATTATTAATTATCCATTCATGGCACCTGATCCCACCTCTGATGTTTTGGAGGTCCGTGTTTGCTCTGCTCCTATTTTGTATTGTTTTATGGACTTTTGATTTTGAATACTGTTCGTTATCTAAATATGTTTCATTTCTTTTAATAGGCAATCCAGAAAATCTTGAAATCACATTTGTGTCCTCATTCGAGGTGATCTTAACTTGGTCGCAAAACTTTAAATCCGGAGAAACGGAGAACACATACGTTGTAGAATATAAATGTGACCCCACTATAATGAAGAAGACTATACGGTTGACGACGTCCGAATGTTCTATACATCTTACGGACCTTCTTCCGGATGTTGAGTACGAGGTCTCCGTCAAAAACAAAGAAAAAGGAGACCCGTCTGTTAAAACGTTCAGGACACCAAAATTTGGTAAACCGGGAAAAAAATTGAAAGAGAGAATTGACTGTATTTATATAAAATATCCAACCGTAAATTAAAGTAAAATATTTTCCAATTTTTAATATTTTAAAGTTTCATTGTACATGTATTTTTAACAGCCATAACTACTGATAATATTTTAAAGTTTCATTGTACATATATATTTAATTGTTGAACAGCCATAACTACTAGTATTTCAATTGTTTCCATTAAATGTTTTGCTAAAAGATAATATTAAGAATTTATATTAAGCTATCATCATTACGATTTAATTTTGAAGGGCCGAATAATTTACAGCACCAGGTGACGTCATCAGAGATAACAGTGACCTGGGAAAGTGCTGTTCTACCCGAAAATTCTACAGAGTTGCTACAGTACCTAATTTTCCTAGAAAGGGAAGATGGAAATAGAGAAAAGGGGATGATCATAAAAGACACCGCCTTACAATTTCATTGCATATTTAGTAATCTATGGTCATCGACGTCGTATGCTATCAAGTGTTTTACACTTATTGATGGGAAACGGAAATACGCTCCAATAGTGATCAAAACAAAAACCAAAAGCGGTAATTATTTCTAACATTTTCTCAAAAGTTTTCAACTGAACAGTATTTCAAGCTCAGAAAGTTTTTCCTTATTTTAAAACAAGGTTTCTTTTTATTGTTAGACAATCTGCGAACTCTATTGGAACCAAGGGGTGACAATTTCATTATTTCCTTTGCTACCCGTGAATTGAGAACTGATGCATTACTGCAAACTGGTGTATATTGTGCAGATTTGTTCTTAACATTTCAAGAGGAATTTTACAGGTGTGACAAAACCGTAAATCTTAGTTCAGTTAATGTGCAGTGATCTTTCCTAATCGAATTGCGTCTGTCTTCCTTTTAAATGCATGTCTGTTTTGATATTAACCGCAATACTTTTGCCATTTTCTTTCGTAATATTTTTGCCATTTTCTTTTACATCCTAAAACATGCATCTACCCTTGAAGAAGCCTGGAAATGTAATTATCAAAATGCAGGCTACATTTAGTTTGTGATTAAAATAACAATTTAGGACACAATTAAATTCCGTTTACTGAAAACATGATAACAAATATATCAATTTCACCATTCATGGTCAAAATTAAAAATGTCCTTGATATTATATTTTCTTTTTAATAACCCTCAACTTTAATTTAATCGACGATATATACAAATGTAAACAGCCTCACTCTGCTTTAGAATGCTTATAATGCCGTAATTCGCGCCTTTTTCTCATGGTTTATCATACTCTGGTTTGTAGGAATAAATTGAATAAAATTTCAGACGTCATATATCGATAACTTGTATTTTTACTGAAAATATAGAGTTTTTATTTTCTTTTTCCGCAAAAAAAACAGCTGTCAGCTGGGTTCTGTATGAAAATGGTACCTTTGCAGTCCGATGCAAATTTTTTCATCAGCCATTTAAGAATTAAACAAACATTGAAGTGAAATTTAATATAATTTATGTAAAAATTTCACACATTCCATGTAAGTTGAATTTAAAAGAACGATAACTCTTTGCAAAATTAAATTTCGTTATTCCCCTTTGATGATGTAAAATATGACGTAACTTCAAGGCCATTTGCGGGGTATTTTTATCACAACATGATAAACACAATCGGTATCATTAAAAAATTTAAATCTTCGTCTTTATGACAGAAACAAATAAATACACAAAGTTGAAAGAGAGTTTATTGTCTTTGTCCGAACAAATGTGTCCGATGCATGGAATTTGTATGTTATATTTCCTTCAAAAAGAGGTTTTTCAGAAAACATGAAAACAAATATATCAATTTCTTCATAGTCAAAATTAAAAAGGCTGTTAACTATTCTTTTGAATTTGGAAATTTTATTTTATACAAACAAACAGCTATGTTCAACCAAACAAGAGAAAAAGATTTAAATATGTATGTTAAGGAACAAGCCAATATATTTTTTCATCAGCATTTAAGGATTATGTAAAATAATAGAACAGTTTCACAAATTCTTACTTTTTAAATGCGGTGACTATATGACTTAGATGAAACTAGATGAACAGCTTTCCATAGTGGAGAAAGTAATGTCTTAACAAAATGCAGGAATTTAATAAAAGATTCAAGGAAGAAAACTTACAGAAAATTGAAAATATGAAACATCATTTTATCGGAGACAATATTTTTTTCACATTTGGTCTTTTTTTAGATAACCTTAACCTTGGATCAAGCAATATTCACCACCCGTTCCTTTATTTTATGACGTGATTTTTTTTCTTTACACTTTACCAAATAATATATAATAATATTTCAATTTTCGTTTTTTCTTCAGTAAATCTGTGGATGAGATGCTAGATCTCATTGATCTGAGTAATGAGGATCTGAAAGCATACACAGTGACCAACATCAAATACCCTATAGACAAGGTGATGCTGGACACACCAAAGCCAGACGTCGAAGAAGACGTTGAATGAACTGAATTATTTCCAACACCTTTGTGGGTGGAAAGCAGTTCTTTTTATGCTGGCTAATTGTTATAATTAAACATATGTCCTATATCACAACATCGACAGAGACTGTTACCTGAAAGAGAATACATATATTGATATGAAAACAAGTTAGCTTATTAGTTGCCTTTCATGTATTTTTGTATATCCTGATATAAATGGATAGATGTTAATATACGTAACTGATTGATATAACAAAGAAATACTCCTACATCAGCGACTTCAGATGTTTGTAAGCAGCATTGGAGAGAGTACTTTGTTGTTTTGTCCTAAAGGTTGTAAACTAAGATTCATTAACTCTGCACTAAAGGCCAACTCTTCGTTAATTGAATATTGGGATTTATAATTAATTTTTCTCTTAATCAAAAAACCACATTTCACGTGAAATATAGAAAATCAAAATTCATATTAAAAATACTCAATTTACTTGAATTCTTTTATTAAAAACTTCAATTTACTTTAGTATAAACTTGTTGAGACGTATCTTGGTGTTTGACTTCATGAGCAGAAAGCCTTTGTTAAACCTTGCAATTTTCGTCCTTGAACAACTTTTTTTATCACTATACAATTGTTAGTGTTTGGAAATTTCAAACTTAACAATTTGCTTTTTACCAAATTGATGCAACAAATCTTTAATCACCGATGTTTGCCTTCCTCTCATATTTAAATGTACTTTTTCTTATAGCGTAAACTTGATAATATTGATCAAAACTATTGACTCTAGAAAAATGAATTAGAAAAAATTACAGCATTTGCGGTACAGTTACACATTATACTAGGCGATAATATCAGCTGTTTAGCGTGACGTCATAGAAACCTCACTTCATAGATTGCGTGTAATTACCGCCTACTTTTTTTATTGATTTTAAAGTCTTACCAAGGAATGCAATGAATTCATTAAATTGATAGTAACTTGTACCTTCATCAGGTCAAACTGTGTATAAAACAATTAGCTCCTATAACGTATAATTACGACAAAGAATGTCTAAATCTTTAAAGTGGATGCATTGCTGTTCTCAATTTCCCTCTCAAAAATGTGGGAGTATTTTGTAGTTTGGCAGCTCTTTTCATTGGTTTTTTTTTTGAAAGACATCAAGTTGTTTATTATTTATCTGGAACTCCAATTCGACAGGTTACAAATAAGTAATTAGTTGTCGATATAAATAGAGTGTGAAGATATGAAGCCTTTTCATATGCAGAAATACCTGCAGGAAAAAGTTCCTAATTACTCCTCCTCAAGGAAAGAGACCTTAAACTGGATTTTAAAAAAACATTTCTAAAACTTTAACTTGTATTTGCCTTGTGTACCAAATAAAAAAAAAACACAATATATACAATTTCTAGTATGACATGCATGAGCGTCCTGTGAAAAGAAAACTCTGTAAAGCCCACACAAATTTCAATGAAGTTTATTCAATATACATGTATAATAAAATTTTATTTTAGCAAAAATATTAATAAATATCGATTATAATTAAACTTGTGCGTATGTAAAAGTGTAAGCTTCTAAAAATATCTGATCAAGTTAATCGAAAATTCAAGTTGATTACAATGCATCCCCATGAAGTACATTGGTTGTTAAAAAAAGTACAGATGACTTTATTATAGTGTTTAATAAACATTATAACATTTTAATAAAAATAAATACATGAATAAACAAATAAACATTTTCTTAATCTCATCTTGAATTTAAAGTGCGCGAATAATAATCAAGTAAAAAGTAGTATATATTTCACCGAGAGAACATTAGGCTTCATATCTCTATACACAGACAAAGCAGTCGTCATCAGGTACATTTATCATAATAAGACGGGGAATGTAGTGGCTGTCATGTTGAGATGGATAGATAGAGACATCGCAGACACAGACCATTACATAGCACCTCTTACATAACAGCTCAAAAAATCAATTGATGGACTTCTATATGCATGTATGTATAGAGTGCTGAAGGACTTACAAATACATATATAGATATGGTACTTAATTTTTATCATGCCTTCATTCGTATTGTTTTATTGTTTAGTGTTTTTTCGTCAAGATATTTACTGTTATCTTAACAATTTGCCTATTATTTGAAATTTTTGGCTAAACATATTCTCTAAACTTTTACCTTTCTGAAAAGCATTTTTAAACTTATTTTTGTGACAAATAAACTTTCAAACAAAGGGCCATTGAATAAGCACTCTTAGCGCTCTAAAGATTTGTTCTCCACTTTCGCGAAAGCGAGGGGACAAGTAAATCTCATTCGTCTGTCCGTCAGTTGTCAATCTGTCCGTCACAAAATCTTTAACTTTGCTCATAACTTTTGATTTAGTGGAGCTATGACTTTCACATTTCAGATGGTTATTCCTTGTGACAAGACCTTTCTTTGGGCACCACTAAATTTAACCTTTTGACCTTGACCTTGGAGTTTGACCCACTTTTACACAAAAATTCTAAACTTTTACTTTGGCCATAACTTTTGAATGGTATACTAGGACTTTCATATTTCACGTATGTATTCTTTGTGAAAAGACCTTTCATTGGATACCAACAACTTTGACCTTTTTTACCTTGGAGAGTTACATACTTATGAAAAACTTTAACCTTGACCATGACTTTTGAACGGTCAGGGCTAAGGCTTTTTTACTTCACATTGTGTTCGTGACAAACCTTTCATTGGATACAAACGGACTTTTACCCTTTGACCTTGGAGTTTAACTACTTTTTAAAAACTTGAACCTTTGTCACAACTTTATAACGGTAATACTAGGACTTTTATATTTCAAATTTTTATTTTTCGTCAAGACCTTTCATTGGATACCAACAACTTTGACCTCTTGACCCTGACCTTGCCCATTTATGTTCTTATGAAAAAAACTTTAACCTTGACCAATACTTTTGAACAGTGAGGGCTAGGGCTTTTGTACATACATATGTAATCCTTGTGACAAGACCTTTCATTGGATACCAAGGACTTATATAATTTTTTACCTTGGAGTTTTCACTACTTTTTAAAAACTTTAACCTTGGTCACAACATTTTAATGGTAGATACTAGGACTTTCATATTTCACAGATGTATTCTTTGTGGCAAGACCTTTTATTGGATACCAACAACTTTGACCCTTTTGACTTTGATCTTGGAGAGTTTTTATTTTCATAAACCTTGGTCATAACTTTTGAACTGTCAGGGCTAGGGCTCTCATTTCACATATGTAATCCTTGTGAGAAGACCTTTCATTGGATATAAACAACTTTCACCCTTTGATCTTGACCTTGGAGAAAAGTTGACCTACTTTTTAAAAACTTTAACTTTGGCCATAACGTTTTAAAGGTTCAATTAGGGTTTTCATCCTTCACATATGTATTTCTTGTGACAAAACCTTTCTTAAGAAACCAACAATTCAGACCCTTTCACGTCATATATATAACCTACCTTTCAAACATTTATCCTGACTATAACTTTTGAACAGGTGGTGCTGGGGATTTGTTATAACAATCGTATTTCTTGTGAAAAAAAACCCTACTTTGGGTAATAATATATTTAATTTGCGTTTAATAAAATTTTAATTTTCGTTGTTGCCATTCGGGGTCATCAGTGTTTCACAAACACATGTACCTTATATTGTAGGGCTTTCATATATGACATGTGCATTACCTGTGACAAGATAATTCCAAGCATGCTATGATTCCTTATCCTTGACCTTAACCTTCACGATTGACCTTATTTAAAAAAAAAATCAACTTCAATGATAATTTCTAAATAATGACATTGATAGGGTGTTCATATTAGACACAATATATCATAAAAAAAATAACATCTCACCCACAAAGACACCGAAAGCGGGGGACCACAATTCTTTGAATTTGCTTGTTTTAATTTGATCTATATTCATAAATTATTAATGTTAATTATTTCTAAAATTAATTAGAGTCAAGTGGCAGGAATTAAAATACGTGTATATACAGCTATTCAGGCGTTAAATATCTTTTTTTGCACTGCATCGTGTCAAAAATCAAAGGCATTCTTTCAGTCTATATGCATGCTTCTTGTCATTTATGACATGATACAATTCAATTATTTGATTTTGTTACTTTTTGTTACAAATTTGAAGTTTAATAATAAATGTAAATACTGTGATGAAATAGATATCCATGAAGTTGTAAATGGATATTATATGCATGAGGAGTTTGACAGTCCTGTGGAACGGATTGTATATATGATACTTAAAAAATATATTACACAGTATAGCATTACTATGCCATACTTTTTCTACGGACAAATTAAATAGCTTCTGTTTTCTGATAATGGCGGGAAGCTAAAATGTAAAACTATAAAGATATAAGGACCATATTCCCAAAAAACCCTTACATTTCCTTGCAAAACAATCTTTAACTCACTTTTGCTGACAAGGAAAATCATAACTCAGGTTCAAATGTTCAAATGAAACACTGTATTTCGTCGTATTCAAAGAATGTTTGTAAACAACCGCTGTTTTATTGCCAGAATTTTTTTCTGTGTTACAATTTTATTTCAAGGTAAGGTGTTTTTTGCATTAAGCAGATTGTTTCGAAAAAAGAGAGGGAATTTTCGCCAGGCGAGAGCAAGAGATGTTTAAATTAATTACCACCCATCATCGATTTTGGAATGTTATCTTCTAGCGCTTGTTAAATTCCAGCCGATCAACACGTTCAAATTGCTGTTTTTTATGGCTTACTTTGGTGGTTTTACTATCATTCTTCATTGGTTGTGGTAGATGACAATCTCTATATATGATTCTTGATATAGGGATGTGTGTCTATTTATTTTATGAATTTAATATAAATAATCCTTTCCTTTAAAGTCAAGAAAATAAATGCTGTAAATAGTGAATAACTTCATGGGAAATATTGTGGAAAAAGGGTTCATCAATTTTTTAAAAACCATACTTCACTTGTTATCTAGATTGCTTCCGCAAAACAAAACAAATCGCTATGTTTTGAAGGTAACCAGAAAGAGCTGATCGATTTTACAAGTTTTCCCCTCATTTCTGGGTGATCAATGATTTATATAATTAGAAAAGCAGAGCTATAATTCCAACCTCGAGAGATAATATACATGCTTTAAGCAGATGAGTTTTTCCAAGCTTAAAGAAATAAATGAATTAAATTAAACTTTGTAAAATATACCTTCTTTCTTTTTTGCACTTTCTTAGGAAATTTTACGAATGCTGTTGTTTTACTTGTCTGTCTGTCTGTCTCTAATATTTCTCCTTCCTGTAATTTATCTATCAAATTTAAGCAGTAACCAATTATTATTTTTAAATATATGGTCATGCCTCGTAGATGAGTAGTTATTTTTTTAAAGTTTTCATTATCATCCTTTGAACCGAAAACCGGTCACA